AGAAAAACACACTAGAGTGCAGTGAAGGTTTTTGTTGTTTTTTAGTCATAAAGTCGTGTCCGACTCTTCGCGACCCCGTGAACCAGAGCATGCCAGGCCTTCCTGTCTTCCACTGCCTCCCGGAGTTGTGTCAAATTCATGTTGGTTGCTTCGATGACCCTGTCCAACCATCTCATCCTCTGTCGTCCCCTTCTCCTTTTGCCCTCACACTTTCCCAACATCAGGGTCTTTTCCAGGGAGTCTTCTCTTCTCATGAGATGGCCAAAGTATACAAGTCTGTAAATCCTAAGTATGTATAGATAGTTCAGCAGTCACATGGGATTTACTGAAAATGGCCATATAGGAAAATTTTACCACTTGTTCAGTGACTGACTTTTTGGAGTTGAGATGCAAGGTAACTCTGAGAGACACGGAAAAGGAGCCATGGAAGGACTGGGTAATGGGATTGTTTGTTTGTTTGTTTGTTTGTTTGAGAGAGAGAGGGAGAGAGAAACACACACAGACAGACAGAGCGAGCGAGCCCCAGCCCCATTAGCAGTATGTACTATCCTGGGTGGTTTACAACAATAAATAAAACATATATGAACCAACTACAAATGAACAATAAAATTAAAACATTTAACTAGATCTATTAGATCTTTTGCGGAGAAGTGCCTTTGAGAAAATGACAATGGGGAACATGCAAATAGAATCATCTTCTGTGTTATTCCAGGGAAGCATCTTATACGCGTAGGGATTCTTTAAAATCTGCCATCTGATGCAACGGAAGGGAAAACATTAAACCTTGCTAAGGAAAAGGCATTTCTAAGTTTAGAAACAGTTAACCTTCCTAAAAAGAGCTTTCCGTCTTTATGCGGAAGGCCCGTTGGTCCTGGTAACTGATGGAAACCCAATCTCTTAGCAGCCCCCTGAAGCTCTGGATAATCTGTATCCAGTAGCTTCTGTTTAGCAGTTGATTTAGCATGCTTGAAAGCAACAGATCAGCAGATACTCCCCAAACCTCATTAGAGATGCCAGTTTGAAGCAGGTACATAATTGTAAGGAACCGGCATTTGTTAGGAATGGGTGCTTCTGCTACTTTCTGGAAGGAGAAACTGGCTCAGTATTTTTACATTGGATTCCTTAATGAACCGGTCACTTGAATCAAAATGGCTTCAAAAACTAAAGGTGTCTGGCTTTACGTTGCAGCCTCTGCCTTTTGAAATGTGCCTTCCTGGATTAACATTGGCTTTACCTGACAATAAGATGACGTTTACTTAAAAGTCTTTGTCGATCAACCCACTCATTTCAAAACCAAAGTCCCCGGCTTCCCTTTTCTCAGTGTAATCGCTCTGATCTCAGCCCTGTGGCACTGATTTGGTGTCTCTAAATCTGACATGACCTAGCTTAACAGGCACTAGAGGTGTCTGTCTAGAAAGATGAAAGGCAGCTGTCATTGGACCAAAAAAAATCTGAAAGCAGGTCCCGATTTTTTCTCTCTCCTCCACAAACCCAGCCCGCAAGGCTTGGTGTGTGTCTGCATTTGGCCCAAACCATAACAGGGTGCAGCTTGAGTCCATGATTTTCTTTTTCGCTCCCTTTTTTTGGTTTTTCTAGAGGTTCGGATCGCTGCCGTCGAGGCCCTCTGCATGTTGGCCCAGTCCTCGCCTTCCTTTGCGGAGAAGTGCCTTGACTTCCTCGTCGACATGTTCAACGACGAGATCGAAGAAGTGAGGCTGCAGTCGATTCACACCATGAGGAAGATCTCCAACAACATCACTCTTCGGGAGGACCAGCTGGACACGGTGCTGGGTGTCCTGGAGGCAAGTCATTTCCTTGATTCCCCTCCTGGGAGAACTTCTTTCAACTGGTTTTTCATGTCCGCTGGAGTCAAAGTCCTTTGTGTCCATGTCCAATGTTCCTCCTTGATGGCCTGATCAGAGGAGTGGGCTAGTAGCCTATTGCCCTTTTCCCGCCTTGTTTATCCGTTAACGAGGATAAGAACCCTGATAGGTCAGACCGCGGGCTCATTTGGTCCAACGTTTCAGTGGCCTGTGGAGAACCTGCTTAGCAGGACATGATTGCAGCTGCCTTGTATGCCTCAGCAGCTGATATATTGAGGTGTCCTACCTTGTGGTGCAGTGGTTAAACTGCTGGACTGCAGCCAAAAACTCTGCTGTGGTTCAATCCCAAATAACCGGCTGGAGGTTCACTCAGCCTTCCATCCTTTTGAAGTCAGTAAATTGAGTGCCCAACTTGCTGGGGTAGGGGTAGGCAGTGTGTAGCCTGCATAATGAAACTGTAAACTTCGGAGCTTTAAGTGCTGTGGGGTGCTGCATAAGCAGCACGCTTTGCTTTCTGCTTTTACCTTGGATCCTAGAGGTGATGTATAGCCATTCTGGCTAGTAGCCACTGAGGGGCCTTGTTAGCCATGAATTTATTCAGTGCTCTTTCAAAGCCATCTAAGTCAACAGCATCTTGTGGCAGTGGGTTCCACAGTCTCTAACTAAGGGGCCCATCATGGTCCATCCAGTTCTCTTCTCCTGCTCAGGTATAGTTAGTGTTAGCCACGGTGTCTGATTCATATATCATGACCAACAATAAAAAGAAGAAAGTTAAAGAAGAAGCAAAGTGTGCTGCTAATATATACCACCCCACAGCGCTTAAAGCACTCTGGTAAGTTTACAAGTTAATTATGCAACCTACCTATTGCTCAAGGAAGCCTTGTGTTTTTTGTGTTTGTGTGTGTGTGTGTGTGTGTGTGTGTGTTTGAGGAAAGAAAATCTAAATAGAACAAAGGCATCAACCGTCTCAACCATCCTTGGACATGCATCCGATAGGAATGGTGTCTTTTACACCTTTACAGGCCAAACAGAGATTCCTAAATTACCCATTATCCCCGAAAATCAGCTGTCCTGGCTGGAGCTGCTAGGAGTTGTCATCAGTAACATGAAGGAGCGAATCTGTAGGTCCTCGGCTCCTGTGACGGGTCTGTGGCAGGACAGACCCTTTTCTCTTTTGAGCCTTTTTGTGTCTTTTACTTTAGGATTCTTCTCGAGATATCCGGGAAGCTCTTCACGAGCTGCTCTGTTGTACCAACGTGTCAACAAAAGAAGGCATCCACCTTGCCCTGGTTGAGCTCCTGAAAAACCTCACCAAGTACCCTACAGACAGGGACTCCATCTGGAAGTAAGCACTGTTGTTTTTTTCTAATACAATAAGTATGATGACAGTGGCATGTGGTCGTTGAACACCAGTGATAAAAGTACTTTAGTTTTGAGAATCTTTGCTGTTTTTGAGTTCTCATGAAAGAGGACCGCTTCCAGTTCTGGGCACAACACTTTAAGAAGGATGTCAACCAACGGGGACAAGTTTAGAAGAGCTGGGGAAAGGATGATCTGGGAACTGGAAACCAAGC